GGGGCCCAGCGCCGACCCGAGAGGTCCGCGCGGAGCTCCGAGAGTTCGTGCTTCTGCCGTGCTTTCTGCTTGCTCTTCCACCTCGGCTCCGCTGTGCCGTCGCCGAAGCTGGTGTCCCTCGTCAACCTCCCCCCCCGCCCAAGCCGGGGGGGTGGAGGTCCGCGTACCGCTGCCCCAGGGCACGCGCCCGGGATGGGTGGGAGCCAGAGGACGGGTCGACCACATGCGCAAGGGTGGCCTTTCCGCCGGAGTGGCCTGTGGTGCGGGCCCCAGGGGGTTCCCCGTCCGCCGAACGCGATGCGGTGGTGGCGGCTTGCGCGCTCGTGCTCGCTCCCCCAGCGGCCCCCCAAGAGCCACGCACCAAAGGTCACTCCTACCCAGGGTCACTCTTGCGTGTAGTCGGGGGGGCCGCCGGGCGGGGCTGGCGATGACGTTCAACGAGCAGGCGGGCCCCAGCTGGCGGGTCGCGAGGGCAGACCGCGCCGGGCGGGTCGCCGAGCCCTCGTCGGAGCCCAAATGCGTCTGCACGGCGGCAGATCGTGGCGGACGGGGGACAGAGGTACGGAGTGGGTGGTCATCGGTCCTCCTCCTCCTCCTCCTCCCTCCCCTCCTCCTCCTCCTCCTCCTCCTCCTCCTCCTCCTCCCCCTCCTCCTCGCCTCCGTTCAGGCTGCGTTAGGCTTTCTGTGCACTCTTGCGTGTAGCCGAACAAGGGTAATCTCGATCTGGTTCGATGCAGTTGCGGTTGCCTGGCGACCCCCGATGAATTTGTCGCTTTTGCTCGGCATGCGAGGGCGCGCGCGACGGCGCAGGCGCCCCCCCCCCGTGGCGAACTCAGCCGAGTGGTTCTCCTCCCGATGGGGCGGTGACGGTGCTGAGAGAGGGCTCTCGCCCTCCGCGCCCCTGGCGCCCTGCGCCCCCTTGCCCTGCTCCGGCGCCGGCGCCAAGGTCGTCTCCCACTCCTCTGCGCTGGACGGAGCGCCGTCGCGCCGCGCGCGGTCGCGGGGGGGCGGGGAAGCCAGGGGGCAGGCGGGGGCGCGCTAGATACCGCGCTGCGCGTGGAAAGATGGGGGCATGCGCGTGGGCCCCGCGCGGGCGCGTGCGACGCGGGAGGGGCTCCGACAAGTCCAGCGTCCTGTGCGCCGAGTTCCGCGCGGCTTCCCCGCCGCTGTCCTCGGAATGGCTCTCCACGGCCGGGGGCCCCTGGCGACGGGGAGATCTTGATAACCAGAAAAAAGCATCGTCAGCAGAACACACCTCAGGAGGGGGAAAAACACACAGACACAATGAATCGTCGGGTCCCAGGATAATATGGGAAAATATGGGAAGTGGGGGGGAAGACGAAAACTTAGAAAATATGGGAGAATATGGGGAATAGTTTTATTTGTATGTATTTATTTGTGTGTCCTGGGGCCCCTTTAACATCATCCGACGAATTCGCGTATATTCGGGGGCCATCGCGCGCCAGGGCGTTCGCCCGGACAGCCGTCGACGAACCGGCGGCAAGGCACCGTCGGGTTGGAGGCTTCTCGCGGGCCGCCCCGCGCCGATTCGCTACGGGCGGGCGTCTTTCCGCGTCGCGCCGCGTTCCTCTTGTTGCGCCGCGCGTCGCCTGTCTTTCGGCGCCCTTCCTGGCTCGGCACCCTGCGTCGCAGATTGTCGGGCGCCCTGCGCGCGGCCCCCAAGTGCGCGCGCCAGCGCGAGTGTTTGCGGGGCGACGTCTGTTGTGTCAGTTGGATGTTTGTTGGGCGCTTGGTCAATGGGATTGCGTTCAGGAGAATGAGGTTGCGAGGCGTTTTGCGGTCTGGAAGCTATGGGCACCACGAGGGCCATCAATGGTTTTGGCCCCCTATCCTCGCTGCGTCGCAGATGCATCGTGGCGGTAAATCTCGCCGGCGCTGAAGAGGCATGATTGCCTGTCGGGCGAGGCGAGAGATTAAGTGATCCTGCTTCGATGACAGTGGTCTTGCGTTGGACCTTGTCTTGCGATGAATCAAGTACCAGCGCTCTCCTCGCTTCGAAAAGAGCTTGCATATGCTGATGACGATCTGCTTCGGACTGTAGATCTTCCTAGCGGACCACGTGTCAACCCTCTTTATCATGGACTATCTCGCGATGGCGATTGGGCTCTCTCTGAACATCGGGAAATGCGGCGCGTGGGTCTCTGCGGGGAGACAGGCGTTTGGCGCGCGGGAAAGCTCGGGGGAGTGGGTTCCAGGGGATCGAGTTTGAGACGGGCGCTCTTCACCTCGGATTCTGGGCGGGCCCCGCCGCGCTTGCCGCAGCGCGGCGCGCAGCGATGATCCAGTGTCCTGGCAGCGAGTTAAGTCGTCGCCCCCCCCCCCCCCGCGCTCTCGGACTCCCAGCGACGACCCGCCAGTTCCATTCGAACTGTCTCTCCGTCGTGCAGGATCGGACGCAGCTCGCCAGGGCGGCGCCAGAGGTGCGCGCCAGCACAGGAAAGCGTCGCAGATCTTCACAGCGGGTCCCAGTCACGCGCAAAACTATTTCAGGAGGGAAAGAAACACACAGACACAATTAATCGTCGAGTCCAAGGAGAATGTGGGAAAATATGGGAATTGTGGGGGAAGACAGAAACCCAGAAAATATGGGAGAATATGGGGAATCTTTTTATTTGTGTGTATTTATTCGTGTGTTCTGGGGCCCCTTTACTATTGCGCGCCCGCGCAGCGGCGGGGCCCCGCGGAAGCGCGCGAGTACGCGGTCCCGGGGCTCGCGGATGATGCCACCGGGTACCGCGTCGTCTTCAGACGCGAGCGGTAGACCAGGCCTTGCATGACGCTGAGTGCCTGATCAGTAGTCGCTTCGACGATGCATGCTGCCCCTTTAGAGAAGCTCCGCAGTGGTGAAGAAGCTCACTGATCAGGGACACGAGTGATGACGCTGTAGATATACGCGACTCACAGAATAGGAGGGGCCGCGAGCAGATCCAGGCAAAGGTGCACAAACATCTGCTCGGGCTTCGGGTGCAACTTGCTTCTTTCAGTGGGCTCCGGGCTCGAGCCGGGCGACGAACATGCAGGGTCGAGCGCGCTACCATGCGCGCCTTTCGGCCCATACTTAGAGCATTGAGAAGAAAAAACAACACGGCCACGCGCACCCGCCTTGCCATTGGTCCGATTCGGATCCAGTGCAGGGGCGTTTGCGCGTCCGCTCGTCTCCGTTGTGGAGACCGAGGGCATTGTTTTCGGAGTGGGGTCCTGGTGGCATGCTTCACTACAAGTACCGTTCGCCCACTGAGGCGTCGGCCCCCCAGCGTGCTCGAGGTGTCTCGAACCTGCCAGGAGCGTGGAAGGATCGGCTCGAGGGCGAGGACTCTCGGTGCGCGGGCCGTGGCGGCGCCCCCTTGGCCCTCTGGCGCTGTCTTCGTGGCCGCTGGCCTGCCGTTGCCCCCGTGCTTCCCTGGGCCTTTGCATCCGTGCCTCGGCGTGGGCCCTGAGCCCCGCGGGGCCGGCGGGCCCATTCCACGCGCGCCCCTCCCACCCCGATGCGTGCCGCTGCTGAATTGTTCCTTCCGCCGCAGCGCCCCTGGTCGGATGTGCCAGGGGGCCCCGGTGGAGTCGTTGGCGGATTTGCGATATCTGGCTCTCTTGCCCCCCTGCCCGCCCCGCCTCCTCGTGGACACGTTGGGCTCTCCGCAGCGCCCGCCCCGCTGCCGCCTCTGAGCATTTTAATCGAACCCTTTGTCGCCGCGCGATCGGGGGGGGCTGCCGCGAGGGAGGCGCACTTCAACGGCGTGGCGCCCGATCCGCCAGCGCGGTGCGCGGGGCTTATCCGTCTCGCATCCCGCGCGAGGCTCTCGTTGAAGTGCGAGGCGCCTGCTCTTTGTGACGAGATCTCTTTTCTCGTTCGCGAGGTTTCGCTGAAGTACGGGGCTGCGTTGCAGGAGAGGGGGCGCGGCTGCTGGGACGGTGAGTTCTGCGTGCCGTTTTCGGGGCTTTCGCTTTTCTCGCGTGCCATGTCGCTCGCGCGCCCGGGATGCACCGACCATTCCCCCGAAGCGCCCTGCCGCCCCGTCTGCTGCCCCTCTCGCTTCTCCGCTTCTCTCTGCGGCCTGTGTCCCCCTTGGGCGCGCCTTGACAAAAAACTACGGACCATGGAGCATTGTGTGCGCGCTGCGCTGGGGAAGCAGCTCATCCTCCTCGTCGTCGTCCTCCTCCTCCTCCTGCTCCTTCTCCTCCTCCTCCTCCTCCTCCTCCTCTTCCTCCTCCTCCTCCTCCTCCTCCTCCTCCTCCTCCTCCTCCTCCTCCTCATGATCCTCCTCCTCCTCCTCCTCCTCCTCCTCCTCCTCCTCCTATTCCTCCTCCTATTCCTCCTCCCCCTCCTCCTCATCATTCGTCCTCGGGTGCTTCGGGGGCAAACCTCGCTCGTCCCACCGCCGCCCTATCGCGCCGCCTTTTTTTCGCGCGGGCAGATGCCGAGGCCTCCGCGCCAGACCCCCGCCCCCCCGCCTCACCCGCCGGTATTCCCGCACGGGTTTGGCGCCCGTGCCTTTCCGAAGGGCCAGGAAGCAGAACGGGAGGAGGAACAGGAGCAGGAGGAGGAGGAGGAGGAGGAGGAGGAGGAGGAGGAGGAGGGAGAGAAAGGAAGAGAGTAGGGGGGGGGGAAGAAGAGGAGGTAGAAAAGAATATAGTTAAACACCACGATACCCTCGACGCGAGCATCCTCCCCAGAGCCAGAGAGGTCCCCGATCCCAAAAAAAGTTTTGATTCGCCGACCGTTGATCGGTCCCTCATTGGGTTGCACCGCTTCCCAGGAGGAGAGAGAGAAAGAGAGGTAGGAGGTGAATAGAGAATAAAAGTGAGGAGGGATGGAGGAGGAGGAGGAGGAAGGAGGAGGGAACATATCAGGAGGGCGCCGCCTCCCCCCACCTCTTTCGCATGGTGCAAAACCGCGACGGGCTGCTTCCGGCAGCTTTCGGCACCCTGGGTGCCCTCAGCGGGCCCCAGGACCTTCCAAAAGCGGCCTCGTGTTCAAAATCTGTCCTGGGGAAATTGTTCAGACGTCCAGGTGCCCGCGTTGCAATGGAAAACAACGTTCTCCTCCTCCTTCTCCTCCTCCTTCTGCTCCTCCTCCTCCTCCTCCTCCTCCTCCTCAACCTGCTCCTCCTCCTCGTCCTCCTCCTCCTCTTCCTCCTCCTCCTCCTCCTCCTCCT